CTTGTAGTGTCATTTGGCGAGAAAAGAGAAAGCAATCCTTAGCTGACTGAAAGTTTGTGAATTCCAGGTGCCGTGCGGCGCTATGTGTGGTTCGCGTGTTCTCTGGAGCCTTGACTACTGATCAGCAGCATTTTCTGACCTTGCTCAAAAAGTGTTGTAGGGCCTTTTTAATGGTGTGTTGTTGCGGTGTGGCTGAGATGGCAACCCACTTTCATTTCAGTTACAAGGGCACCTTCAGACACTGCAGGCATGATTTTTTTAATTATGTTGGTGCTGCAATTAGGCCCTGTATCAAGTTCTTGTTACGATTGCGCCCAAGCATTGTATTGTAAATACACTGAGCAGTTCCACTTAAAGGCTAGCTCCGGCGATTTTTCGAGGTCAGTGAATCTCAATGAAATTCACTGGGTACGTTCATTTGCACGTTTGCGCCATTCATGCTAAATTGCATGCTTGGGAGTTTCGCAGATTCTTTTCAACTGAATTTTATAGCTTGCCTGGAAAAACTCACCTCTCTTGCCAGAATTAATGGTAACATTGTGTGTGTGTGACGCGGAGTTTTGCCTGGCGGAAGTGACGAACTGATGTGCGACTGCAGCGTCTGCTTGTCTGCTATGTATTGTGTGGGTTTGGCTGGCACTTTCTTGGTTGAGCGTGCGATTTCCTTTTCTATATTGGTGTGCATGCAATAGGTGGGTGCCAAGAGGTGTTTCGGTTGTGAGCCACACACGATTCGCCATATATTCACCATAACAGCGTAAGCGTTTTAGCCGATCTGATCGCCACAGATGGCGTGGACCGGTAGTGATATCTGGTGGGCATTATGTGCAGGCAGGCAGGTTCCGGCAATGTCAGGCAAATCTTTATGTCAGCGTGCGTACTTGGTTTGGTTTCAGTTTCGGTATTGTGGTTTTTCGATAATTAAAAATTATTTTCTAGTTTTTTAAGCATTTCAGTTTTCGAATGTGTCAGAAGAGTGTCTAAGGAACATAAAAGCACCATTATCCTGACATGGTCAAAAAATGGTCACCCTGCTTAAATGCTGGAGTAGGCCTTTAAGCAGGGTGGAAATGCTCAGACTGTTTTTCTTCACCCAAAAGGCCCATTGAGGGTCCCTGAAGGTGGGGGACTGCACGGCTCTGGCAGCAACTGCTTACGTTGACTTGCCAGGTGCAGTTGCATGCTCACAGTCTTGACAAAGATCAGCAGAGGTCTTGCACCTTTGTATGTGCTGTGTTCGGCTATGTTTGTGCTGAAGTGATGGACAGTACAAAGGTTGTTTAGCTTGCTGCAGCGGCCATGTTTCTTTACGCATGCGTTTTGTTAAGGTGCACGAGGTCAGATTCTAAAGGGGTTAGCTGCTAGTCTTACTTGGTAATACTTCTAATTTGTTGCTATGGCTTTCATTGTTTTGTTCTTGTGGCAAAATTGACTTTACTTTAGTTGTTCAGCTAGTGCCATGTCATGTCATGTTTTGGTGTTCACGAGAATCAGAGTGCAGGAAGTCTAGAAGTTGTTAGCCTGGCAAGGGCCGCTATCTTGTTTTAGAGTCGTTTGATAAATGCAGTGGTACAACTCTTGGCTCCGTACTATGAGTACCAAAAGAAAATATAGGCCAGGGTTTTCGTTGAAAAATCAAGGGGTGTATTACCGCGTGCTTTTGTAGGCTGTGTGGGCAATTCAGTTAGAATTCAGTGGTAGCTTGAGCACCAGTTATCATTTATTGATCAGTTAATAAAAAAACATGTAATTCTTAATTGAATGGTTCTTGAACATTCCAGATTATGCCAAACTTTCATAATATTGCATTTATGGTGATGTGCAACATTTTTTTGTTGTTTTGTTGAAATTTTGTTTATAGAACAGCTTTTTTATGGAGAAGTGTGCGATGTGGGAATCGAGAGCGCCCTCCTACCTGGCGCCTCGTTCCCCAGCTGCCGCGCGCGTGCCGACAGCGTAGCCCGGGCGCGCATAAGCACCGGCATCCGCCAAGATGGCTGCCAGGGCGCCTCTTGGTCTGGGCCAGTCAACCGTCGGCTCTTTCTCGCGCTGGCATGTCCGGGCACGCTACGCTGGTACGCTGCGCGGGCCTACGTCACAACGCAGCGCCATTTCCCTTTGGGCCGCGCACGACATCCTCCTCTCCTACGAGCTATGTTGCGCCCGACGATTCGCTCGTCGCGGCAGATGCTCTCAGGCCTCCACGAGAGGTTGACGTGCTGCTTAGCAGGCGGCTTCTCGTTCGTGCGTTCGACTTCGGCCCTTGTGCGGGAGTCGTCGCGCCCTAGGCAAGCGTACTTGCTCGGTCTTGCGGAGTTCCCTATACGGCCTGCAAGCCCGTGAGTGTCGCACTGTGCTGCATCTTGGGTTGATAAACCCGTTGTTGTTGTTATCCTGCCTCGTGCGTGGTTTCTGCGCCGTGCCGGAGAAAACGACGAACCCGGCCGCAGCGTCTTCGCACGCAGCGGCAGTGGAGGACGTCACATCCCTACACGAGTTGTGCTTAGTTGGTGAGCCTAGTGCAAACCTATCTCCACAGCGAATATCAAAATTTTCGAATACGTATTAAATACAAATACATAGCCTGGAATAGGAATCCAATATAGAATAATAAAGAGGTGCAATTTTTTTCTACCAGTAATCTTTTACTCAATCTTATATTATGTTGGAAACAGTACAACTATTATTATAGTCAGTATTGCACACCAAAATAAAATGTCACCATCTGTACATGCCAGAAAGCATAAGTCTGTAATAGTTGAACTTGTGACTGTGATGTCTTGGGTTTAATCCACATGTTGAACAAACCTTTTCTATCTTTTTTTATTGCAAAAAAAAATATCTTTCGTACCTGCCATGATGACTAGTGAGCATGAGGCCACTGGTTTGATTGTGCAATAGTGAACACCTGTGTAATTAAGTCTAAGCAATTATTAAAGCAGCCTAGGTGGTCACAATTCATCCAGGTTCCCACACTATCAGTTTTGGCTCGAAAGACTTCGATTTTATAGTGTTCTTTTTAATTTTCTCCTGTTTTCACCGGTCAAGCTACTTAGGGAAATAGGAGTACTTTGGGCGTTTTTTTTTTCATTACACAGCAATACTGGTTATTTCGCTTGCTTCTATTGCCTTTCTCGAGGACTGTAAGCTAGCCATATTCCGATCAAGAATTCTGGTTTGCGCTGATAGCAGCACGACCGTGATGGTGTACCGGGCGCGCAGCGATAACGCCCGGTAAGCGCGCGAGATAGATGAATACTTATGTGTGATAGAAAGACACCCCAAATACGCTTTTTATTAATGGAGCCACAACTCTAGGCAGTGAGGGCCTTTTTTTTCTGCATCGTTGACCCCCTTCGGCGCACTGACTGCCGACGGCAGTAACCTAATATTAGCAAAAGAGCGAGATCGCAGCAACAATGTAACGGAGGGTGGATTGCAGGAGACGTTGCCGCGCTAGCGCGATGCACGTACAATGGATTTTCGAAGGCGCTGTCAGGAACACATCGGAACTATGCATTAATCCGTGCGTCTCCTTACTGTGCGCTGTCGTTAGTAATGAAAAACTATCTGTGATGACACCATTGTAAAGTTACCGAAAGTGCATGGGCTTTTCTATGTTTGCCATTGTGCAGAAGAACGTTTCAGCTCATTCGCATGACCATATCTGCTACCATGAAATCATTCAGGAACTATGAAGAGCTGAAGTAGAGGCACAGCTGACGAACGACTTGTCTGGCTTCAAAATGTGTGCGTACATTTGTACAGTGATCTATTAGCGAAAACTGGCCTGGCTATACATGACGTGGCGTTACCATCGTACATCAAGCTGAGCGCGCCTCTAGCTAGTTGCATGCAATGCATTTGCCCTTGTATAGAGGTATTTTCTTTCTTTGTGCTCGTTCAGCACGGGACCGTGCAAAGGTGTGAAGACTATTTTGTTGAGCCAATGCGGCGGTGATGAGTTGCCTTCGTTTCCACGAGTGATACGCCTTTGTGGCCCCGCACGCAAGGGCACGACAGTGGACGGCGTGGTCAGTACGCTTATATGAACCGTAATAGCGCTAAACTGCTAAGCTACATGTGCTGTCGGGCAGGCAGTACATGATTTAGATTGATCAAGATGTTTATCGTTGGTAGGTTTGTCGCAATGACATGCTGCCTCATTCGCCGGTAGCCGACATCACGCTATTGGGAATTTCTATGCAGGCATCACTGCACTCGTGCCGAAGTTATAGTTCACTGCATGATCTACCTAGGCTCTTATCGCAAATGCGTAAAAGCGCAAGTTCTTCACAGTGAACCATGCGAACGAATATTCGTGAACACCGAATATTCTAGGAATATTTGAGTTAGTGCGAATATTCTAAATATTCGAATATGTGGTTATCGAATCGAATACGAATATTACAAATGCAATATTCGATGAATACTGAAAACTTTCGAATATTCGCCCACCCCTATTTAAATGTTGTGCCCATGCATTCATTTTGGGGGACGGCCATTGGGTTTTGTGAAAGTGGGAAAGCTTCGCGCCCTTGCTTGCACATTTACCATCATCACTAAAGGTGCTCCTCCCCCCTCTCATTATACAGCTAGTTGTGTGAATCATGTGCTGCTTGCTGTAAAACTGACGAATCCAACTGAGCCCTCTGATTTTGGCCTAAACCTTGGATAAGAGCATAGGGAGAGTGGTTATTCGAGTATGCTTACGTTTTCTACCAGGTAGCGCACGTGGTAAGTCACTCTTCTCTACACAGCCTTTAACAAGAATGTGCAAGAGAGTGACAATTAGCTTTTCTCGTGAAATGCATAGATGCGTGTATGAGCAGAAGATGGTAAAACATTATATTTGACAAAGGGATTCAGGCATGTTTTTTAGGGGTCCCCATTCGCAGCCTCTCTGCACATGAATTCCTGACTTTAAATGTAAAGCATGGACTAACTGTATCTGAAGATGGACCTGAAGCATATTGTGCTGTTTTGCTGGTGCATTGCAGCAGTGGACCGGAGCCTTTCATCGTCAGTGGTGGATGCACGAGAGGCAATGGTTAATGCCTGCCTGGACCTTATCCAAGCTTTCAAGACAACACTGAGTTCTGGTCAAGCAGCTGCATTGGGGCTGCCCATACCACATTGTGCCCGCCTCGTGCCGCTCTATGTACTTGCACTCATGAAACATGTAAGTGCGAGAGAAAAGGGAAGGCCTTTCCTCTTTTTGTAAAATTTATACACTTGTGGGTTCAACAGCAATGTGCTTGGCCAGACTAGTCAAGTTTTTTGGGTCATTGTTTGCGCAGCTGATATTGGTCTATAATTATTGCTGGAGTTTCAGGAAATTTGTGCTTGTTATTTGAGAAAGATAGAGTATTACAGTCACTTGTCTAGACATAAATTTTAAGAAGTTGTAGGTACAGTCAACATGGAATTTTTTCTTGCTTCCTAGGCACTGTTAATAGTCTTAAGGGTCATGCAATGCACAAAAAGCAGATGAAAAGACAACAAAAACTTGCTCTTTATTGCCTATAATAGCTTATATTGCCTCAGCCACATCTAATATCATCTGAAAAAGTCTGCCAGTGCTCATATTGGGTGAAGCAGTACTTGTAATTTGACTGGAAAGAGTGAGCAAAGCCACATGTAATACTTACATAAAACTCCTGAGAATGGCCCCTTTCTACTCTTGCAAGACTCACTTTAATATGTTGAATATGCTTGGCCCCATTACTGTCCTTTACACCAATGGTGTATGCTTAATAAAGCTCAAAAAGATGTAGACGGCTACAACGCGATCCCGGAGGCCATGTCTTTGCCACTCTTTGCTGCTGCAATCTCGGAGGTCAAGCTCTGATACCGCATAATTGTGCCATGACTAAAGGATAGCCATTGCGATGCTGTGCTTAATAAAGCAATGAACTCTCCCTAGCTTGTGCTCTTTTACATAACTGGGCCAGTCTGCATGGCATGCTGCAGTCAGAAAGAGAGATGCAGAAGTACGACCGCAATTAGTGTCGTGGATGGCAATAAATTAATGCTTGCACTTGGCTATGCAGTTTGCCATGTAGAAGTAATGGGGTTGTGGGAGCTGGGAAATGTTTCTCTGAATGTCTACCAAACACTGCAGAAAGGGATACAGCAGCTGCAAAATAGTGGCAGTATTTTTGCTGAGACAAGTTTAGTTCCTTACGTTCTACGACAGGGCACTTTTACTTAATTTAGGCACAGTTTCAAATACCTTTATTTTATTGGGATTTCAAGAGTAATATCATTTACTTTATCCATCATTTCATTTGTTCCCATTCTGTTATAACAATGTTTGAGTGTACTTATAAGTGGTACAGTTAAACCTGCTTATAACGAACCTCCATATAACGAATTTCTCGATATAACAGTTCTTCCTATTTCCCACCATTACTCCATAGAAACACATGTATTTACAACCTCTATGTAACAAAGTAACAGTGGGAGACTACCTTGATGTAACAAGTTTTTGCCACGGACAATCTAGGAATTTTGTCCCGGATTTTGTTATTTTGGCTCGAGCATTCCATCATCTGCGATTGCCCTGCCGCCAACAAAGAAAGCGCGCCCATGGCCCCGGCGGCTAACAGGCGAGAGTGAATATTCGTTATTGTGCGCGGGTGTGCGCGAGGAGGACAGGCAGGCCTGCACGCTACGAGCCGACATTTCCGCCGTTCTTGCCACTACGGGCACATGCGCGTGTGTGCTCTCCCCCTCCAAACCAAAAACAACGAAAAAAAGCTTTTCTGTTGGCAGTGCCACGCTTTTAGTTGGCGTCACATATGTGGGCCCGCGCTGGATAAGGAGGCTTGAATAGTTTTCCGCGGTATCCGTGTCATTTGCTTTTTGTTTTCATTGCCGTGCGTACGTGCATGGTTTCACTGCGCGTGCATGGTGTGGCCCCCAACGATGTTCAGCTTTGCTTTTTTTTTAATGCGGAGAACCTGCGTCGTCACCACCTAGGGAATCTCAGATTAGGCGCTGATGGAAACCCTCCGAGACCACGCTGACAACGATGAATCTTTAGGAAGTTGACTCGTCACGCGTTTCCATTCGCGCCGCAAGTATAAGGGATCGTAGCCTTCGCGATTAGCCAATTAGCTCTAAAACGATGGCACGTTGAATGCAATGCAATGAATTCGAGAGCAACAAATTGTAATGTTATACGAAGTAAGGCTGGCAGCCAACTATTTTGGATGAGATATCGCGGAACTCCTGCAAAACGCTAGTGTAAGCATATACAGCCGCTCCATGGAGAAGTGCTCTTTTCACACAGTTTCTACACGTTGAAAGCACACTGGTACTTGCCGAGGATAGCATGCGCACCAGCAATTGCGACTGCACCTTTAAAATCAAAGTTCACTGCCGCTACTTGAGCGACTCCCACCCCCACCCCACGTTTTTTCATGCAGTGGCTAAGGTACTCTGCTGCTGACCCGCAGGTCGCGGGATCGCATCCCAGCTGCGTCGGCAGCATTTTCGATGGAGGTGGGAAGGCTGTAGGCCCATGTGCTGAGATTTGGGTGCACGTTAGAGAACCCCAAGTGGTCGAAATTTCCGGAGCCCTCCACTACCGCATCTCTCATAATCATATGGTGGTTTTGGGACGTTAAACCCTACATATCAAATCATTTACCTGCTTAGTGAATGTTACGATGGCACGGGCTTGTTATCAACTTGGGGTGTTAGGGAACATGGAGGCGATGGCGAAAACCAGTCCAATCCATATAATTGCTATCACAATAACTAGCGCGTTCTTTACCACTACATAAAAGTTCTGGGTGAGCTCTCTCTTCAATTTCCCTTTTTAGTGCATTTTTTGTATTTATTTTTCGAATTTTGATACCGAACCTCTGTATAGCGAAATTCTCTTTCTAAAGATATTGTTTTGAATTTGTCAATTTAGTTATATTCAGTTTAGCTGTACTTACTTTATTAAGAAGAATCTTTGCGGGTATAGTCATTAGCAAGTCTTTATGAAACTACGATTTTACAGCAAAAAAGAACCAAGAATTCGTACATTTCAAATGTACTAAACTACTGTGTAGCTCTTCACATCTGCCACTAATCAAAACTTTGACCCTGAGCTGATGTTCAGTAGACTCTCGGTAAACGGAAATCTGTTAAACGTAACTGCTGTTTAAATGGAACAGTTGTCTCTGATAGGATTGTTTTTGTCCTAGCATACTGTACCACTGTTCATCTCTCAATTAACAAAACTCCTGTTAAATGGAATATATATTCCTGGTCCCTTCAGGTTCCATTTGATGAGTCTACTGTATCTAGAATACTGCTGAACTTTTTTTTTGCAAGGTTTTGTAATCTTTAGGATTTGCTGATTGCAGAGGCACTGAAAATGGGACAGAACATACTACTTGCTTTTTATATTCTCTTTTTATATTCTCTATTCTCAACAATGCTTTATGCTTTTTGAGCATTTGCGAAATTTTGAATCACTGTTTATAGACCTTTTTATCGTATAGGAGGATCCTCTTCTTTCTGGGCTGTTGCACGGGAGTACAAAAGCTCATGTCGCAGGTTCGACCCTGCATTTTCGGGGGGTCATGCATGTTAACCAACAGCCCATAAGGGCTTATGGCAGCGCCCAGGCAGCCTTTGTTGACAAGGTGCATAAACAATAGAAATCCCAATGAGGGAAGGTTTAGGGGCATATGGAAGCTTTAAAGTGATGAAAAATTAATGAATACTGCGTTGCCGAGGCCTACGTTTCGATTAGTGGTTTTGTCATTTCTTCAAAGCAGTTGCTGCCTTGAAGAAAACAAGACCACTTGTCGAAAAATTGACTTCAGGGACACTCTGTGTTAAAAAATTTTGATCTCTTAGGAGATATCTGAAAAATCATTGTATGTTTGTTTTTCACTATAGTGTTTTTTTTCATTTTTTTATCATACCCCTTATATTGAGTATAGACCATCATTCTCTTCTAATCCATTGCAGACAGCATTTCGTGTGGGCATAAGTACCAAGCTGGATGAACGAGTATTTGCTATGGAGCAGATGAAAATGATGCCTCTGTCGTACCTGACAACTTACATCTATCCAGCATTATATCCTCTACATATGCTTGATGATCAGGTAAGTAATGGTGCATGGATCACATGTATTGCCTATGTTTTTGCAAGCTTTAAAGGTATACGCTGTCTCTGGTTATCTCTGTAGAATTAAGCACTTTTACTTCTGGAGTACTAAAGCTTAAAAGGGCCCTGCAACACTTTTTGAGCATGATCAGAAAATGCTGCCGATCGGTAGTAGATGCTCCCAACAAGATGTGAGCCCAATATAATAGCGCAGCACGTGGCCTGGAATTCACAATAAATTATCAAAGTCAGCTAAATATTGTTTTCTCTTCTTTCGACAAATGACAGAAGACGCTCAAAAATCACTCATGGAAAGCCCATCTATCAGCCATTGGCTGATTTGAACATGGTGCGCTCAGTCGTTGCAGAGATCACCGCAGGAGGCCGCCACTTGTCCATGTGTGCGCTTGCGATCACACTAAAAGAGCCGTGCATTCCTAGAAAAAAAATAACAAAGGGCTCAACGTCACGAGGCGCTGGTGACATATATAAATATTTTTTCGCCCCTGCCATCCCTTCCTGCTTAGCTTCTAGCGCTTTCGTTGGGACGAGAGAAGAGAGAATGCAATAGCAGCATGTGACAAAGCCTTGTAACTCCACTCACACTAGACAGATTCTTAAAATTTTTGCCTCGTTGAATTTGTGAGGCAATAAGCTCTTCCAGTGAATTCATTCCATGGTTACTTGAAAAAGTGTTTCAGGGCCCCTTTAGGTAGTTGATAATCATGTGAACATCAGTAGTCTATAGCCACAATGCCTGCATAGTAGAAATGAAGCCGGCATGCTTAAAACAAACCACAGTCATGGCCAAACACATCGCAACCCCTGTGGATATTTTCATCTGAAGCGCCATGAGTAAGTCTTTGACATTGAAACGTTTAAGCTGGAGGTCTGGCCGCAAAAGTTGAAACGGCCTCTTTGTTGGCTCATCTGGTGCGTCACTGATGCCTTGAGTGAGTGGCTGCTGAACATAAATGAATTCGAATGACAGATAACATCAGGGTGGCCAGCTTCGACTATTTTGCACCAATTTGTCTACCTTTACTTAGCCAGTGGTGGCACAAAAACATGTTGGCTACTTTGCTAGTTTTGGCTACGTGTTACACTAATTTGAGCCAAAATATCAATACCTTGTGATTTAGCTGGTGCTGTTCGAGTATGTGGTGTCAAAACAAGCTAGCCAAAGAGTGTTTCCAGCTCTTGAAATTAAGTTTGGCTCTTGTGTTACATAAAAGACTTTCGGACAGAGCCTGGCACTCGCAGCAAAGCTTGCACGAAGCCCAATTTTGCTGACCTTGCTGATTGTACGTTCGAACTTAATGATACGAAAAGAAGGGAACTGAAAGCAATCCGTGTTCAGGATTCCTTTAGCACTCATCGATGTTGGCAAACGAATTACCAATGAACTGTCTGTCTTATATTTTTTAGATTTATGTACACACTGCAACTCGGAAATACAGTCGAAACCCGCAATAAGGAAATCGCCGGGGAAACCAAAAAATTTCGTTTTCGCGAGAATTTCGTTGCCGCGAGTATGAGTCACTAAAAACAGTGATACGGCCAGCAGAACGAAAATTTCTTGCCAGAAGTCGGTCAACTTACTTGGCCGACCCTTGCCATGCAACAACTTCAAAGCTCTCCCTTCGCACTGGAAAAAGTGGTCCATTGCTACGTCATCATGTGCGCCAAAGAAGGAGCGAAGGGTGTCCAGCGCACCCAAAACAACCCGCGGGTTGTTCTGGATGCGCTAATGCGTCGTTCCTGCCCGCAGTCTCGCTGTCAGCGGAGTTAAGGGATAAAGCCGACTCCGATGGCGCACCGCGCTCGTAGACTGCGCGCCCGCTCGTAGTAATCTGATTGTGCATCCGGTGCAGCCACTCGTAGTAATCTGACCGTGTCGCCGCTTACAGCTTCGTTGCTTGCGACGAAGCACGTCGCCACGAGTGCGCTAGCGCGTCGTTCCTGCCCGCAGTCTCGCGGTCGGCGGAGTGAGGGCTAAAGACGACTCCGATGACGAGGCGCGCTCGTAGTAACCTGATCACTGCATCCGCCTACTGCTCATAATTAAAGCATAATTATATCTTAAGTGATCATCGAGCCGTGAACACGTCACGAAGTTGCAATTTTCGAAAGCCATGTCCTCGGCAATGCACAAGCAGCAAACGACGATCTCCCTGAGCGAGCATCCATCCGGGAGATCATCCGGGAGATCATCGAGATCACGGGGTTTTCGTACTCGCAAGGTTTCGTTATTGCAGGTTTCGACTGTACATTTGTTTTCTCATCAATATGGCATGAACCCAAGCTGAGGAATTTGCCAGGAGTTAGTCATCTGACCATTTAGATGGTAATTCGAACACGGTATTTACTTATAATGAACCTGCCCTTTTTTTTCAGAAAAGTTTATGCGAATTTCGGGGGAGGGTTCATTATGCGGGATAAAAAAGTTATACAAGTTATAAGAGCAAAAATTTCGCATGGCGTTATTAAGAAACTTGCTTGTCCAACTGCTGCTGGCCTTCAATTCAGTGGCAGGACTACGGTGCCTCTAAACTAGAACTTTGCCTTTCACAAAAGAAAACTGTCCTTGTTTTGGCCCGCTAAATATGCAATGAACCTTTTTTATAGCCGGAAGTTCTTCTTGTTTTCTTTAGTCGCGAACACGCACTGATCAATGCTGAAGTGTCGTCTAGCCACTCAGTTCCCATGCTCCAGCGCATGCTCGATAAACTTTGTTTCAAACTGGCCATGTAACTAGCGTTCCGGCCATTCGTGCCCTGCGCATCAGGTGTTCAAATAAGTTCACTACAGCATGGAGTTTCTGTAGCTTTTTTTCTATTTCCAAGAAATCTTCACTGCAAACTATGTTGAACTGCTGTAGAAAAATTTTGCGCCTGCTGAGGTGGTGAGAATCATTGGAAAGGTCAGAAAAAAAATGGTGTTTTGCAAACACAACCATCAGAAATCGCACTACTTAGTGATGTTTTCACAATCGTTCTGTGTTCACAGGTCGCGATTTAGTCAAGGCAGCTGCATGGGAATGTTCAGTCATCTGATTATAACAGCACGGCCGCACTCGTTGTGAACATTGCAGAGACGCGTCTCGGACTTACTGTGATAGCATTGTCTCGTCAGACCTGTCCTTAAAAGGGTTACTTATCATCACTTTGGACCTTGTGATTAAGACCACCACGGGACAACTCTTTACACTCGCGATCAAGTATGAGGTACTTTGAAACATCAGGCACCGTCGTCATGCATGTCGCATCCGAGCTTTGCTCCGAATATTGCGTACCCGACTATCTATCTAGCGGACATGCAAAAGCGAAGAAGCGGTAATGTGCTTCATCGAAAGCGATAAATTATATTGCCCCTGGCTCCTCATAACAGTGAATGGACGTTCTGCGCATCGGCAACTGGCAAGCTCGCCATGCAGCGACCGTTCAGAGCAGCGTTGGCCGCAGCTAGCATGTCAGTGCCCCAAAGTGCAAGGCTAAGCATGCTACACACCATTTTTTGTTGCCTAGGCATAACTGATTATTATTAACTGAATATTAGGCTAGGCATAACTGATTATTAACTGACCGGGAATTGGAGGCCTTTGTTCTTTATTCAGTATGCCGATATTTGTGATGCACTCACTATTCCTGTCCCGAAAGTGTACCAAGTATTGTTTGAAGTCTGAAGAGATTGAATCTGAAATCTGCATGGTTGTAAAGTCAGATGTAATAGTGTCCTGTCTACCTTGCTGGCCTCAAATTTCAGTCAGTTATATCTGACTGTTTGTTACTGGATTACATAGTACCGTATGTACTCAATTCTACCGCGCCCTCGATTGTAACGCGCACCCGGTTTCAACGACGAAAAAAAAAGGAAGACATCGATTGCAACGCGCACCCATTTTTCTCGTTGGCCCTTCACGATCACACCACTCGGGAAAAAGACTCCTTTCGGGAGCGTCTTCCGTTTAATTATGAGGTTCGGGTGAAGTTTGTGCCTATCTGACGTGCAACGGAGCATTGCCGTCACTCTAGTTTTACCATGGCCCGATGTCAGCACGCGAACTTGCTTCATCCCCTTCTTCTCGACGGTTGTGGTGCCAGGCATGTCGAAGTAAAGAGGCGTCTGATCGGCATTCCCGATTTGCTCAAGCAGGGATCCGTTGTTGTGCCGCAAGTTTAGGACGAACCTCTGAAAACTGAAGCTTTTCTTCGTACTCCTTCGGCAACTTTTGGCATATGCCCGTTCGCCTTCAGAGGGAAAAGCCTTTCCTCTTCATAAAGTTAGTTAGCCAGCACCTGCTCACTTTAAACTGGCTCCGCATTAGCCCTTTTTCTAAGGCTAACTGCATAGCCTGCACTTGGAGCAGTTCTGTCGCCACGGGCCGCTGTGCTGCTCACTGCTCAATCACATACTCGCCGAGCAGCTCTTCAATTTGCGGAAACCGATCCTGCTGTGGTCCGCTGAAGCCTTTGCGTGAATCTTTGCTGTCGACAATATTCTGCTTTTTTTTCCGCCAGTCTGCACGCACGCATGATTTACGTCCGTTTCGGCACACGCGATGACTTTTTTTTTAAAAGCGGCATCGTGGTGCACTCGTCGAGTTTTTAGAGTCGGCCCTTCCATGCCATCGATGCTGATGCAGACCAAGATGGCGAACTCCTCAGCACACGTACGAAGAGCCGCACATGGGAAACACATAAGCATAAATGGCCGACGCGCCATGCCGACGCAGGTAGGGGGCGGCCATTTTGAAATGCCGATAGCAATAGAATGACCGTATAATTTTTTTTTCGTGCTCGATTCTAACGCGCATGCGATTTATGAACTCGCTAGTTGAAAAAAAGGTGCGCGTTAGATTCGAGTAATTACAGTAAACAAAGTTCAATCAATGGAACAAATAGGGAAGTCGGCATGACAATGCCAATCTGTGTGTAATATCCTAATGTCTATTGTAAGCACATCTGCTGTAACGAGGTTGTACTGCAGTAAAATTACAATGTGAATCCCATTGAATAGCAACCATTACTTGAAAAATATTCAAAATTTTGAATATTTGCACACATTTAGCACTATTATGACTTGATATTTACCATCAAAGTACTAGTGAGTTTTAAACAATCACTTTTTTTTTCTTTCATGCAGGACGCCTTGGAGCTAGAGGATGGAACACTGGTGTGCCAGCCACCTAGACTGCAATTGTCGTTTGAAAATATTGATAGGCACGGCTGCTATGCATTGGACACAGTTGACCGCCTCTACCTATACGTGGGCCGTGCACTTAGCGACCGATTCTGCACGAATGTGCTGGGTGTGCCAAACTTTGCTGCCATTCCTGAGGACATGGTACACACCTCTCTCCTCTTCAGTATATTGTGAATATACAGTTAATGCTCAATATAACCAACTCTAGTAGTATGACATTCTTAGTGTAATGAAGCATTTCACTTTTTGCATCTATATCCATTGAAGAATAGTTATTTTTAACCTCAGTGAAGCAAAGCATTCTCATTTGCTATTTCAGTATAATGAAGCTTGAGTGCTGAAACTTCATTATGTTGAAATGACGGTCAACTTTCAGCACATAAAGAAAACAAAAACAATAAATTGAAGCTGCTCTAAGTGCCACTGGTCGAAGAGTTGTTGTTATACGCTACTTTTGCAAATGCATTTTGAAATCATGCACTGCATGAAAGAAACAGCTGAAAGCTGAAAAGCTGAAAGTAGCAGTCCCGTATATCTGTTGAAGTTGACCTGCAGAGAAATTTTTTGCATATTTGAAATCGGCATAAAAACTGAACAGGTTCATTTTCAGCAGGTCTGTCAAAATTTAGCAAATACAGTTTACTCTTGTTACAACGGACGATCATAATCTGACAAAATGGGTTCATATTATCCGAAGTCCGTATCATCGAAATTTTGTGGGGGGGGGGGGATGCATTGCTCTGTGTGACAATCTTTTTTATTTCGCTCAGCAGTATAGGGCAGGCTAGTTCCAGTGATACATGCTGAACGTATTTGACAGCATGTTTACAAAACACTTCAATCACCTGCAGCATTTCTTAAAACTGCAGCGCCAGTTCATAATGAGCAAGTACAGTAGGTCCAAGGAAGCTATGCAGCCGCTACACTCCAGCAAAGCTTAGCCCCATAGTAGAAAATTTCTAGCAGACCTTAACAGCCAATTCTCTTGATCAGCTTGGAATACTTTTTTTTAGTATTGTGGAAGGGAGGCATATTTGCTTAAAGCAAAGCTGAAGCACTTTTCTAAAAAGACTGAGGAGCGTGTAAGGACAGTTTGATTCGTGCTGAATTGGAAAAGCAATGGGAGAGCTCTCAAAAGTGAATGCCAATAGTAGCACTTTTTGGTGAAAAAACAGTGGCTGTGGCCGCCAGCCTTCTTGAGACGCCGAGCGAACACGGTGACATCATTCACGGTATGCCACGTCATCTGCAACAGCAGCACTGCTGAAGTGTGGCCTCTTCAATTAGTTCCGGCAACGGCACATAATAGGTTAGTCACGGAGGCCGTGATTGAAGATATGAAAGAAAAGTTGCTCCGGGCCAGAGGAAACGAAGATGACGCATGTTTACACGCCCACACTTTCATCACGCTCGTGGGGGTGGAGCAAGACAAGCTTTTATTTTGCCTGCTCTAAAGCTCCTGCTGCTACAACCACGAAAACAATTATGACATCGTCAAAAATAATGTCAGTCCTTCCTAAACACAAAGTTTGATTGAATTCTCAAATTCCTTCAGTTTTCCTTTAAATTGGGCGTCTCTCCCGCGTAGCGTCAAGGCATGCTGGACGGTTCAAAGTAGGTTATAACTTCTCACCGTAATATTCCAATTAGGCAGTTAAACTCACCTGCTTGGTGCCCCAAAACTTACTCTTGGAAGCGTTTCTCTTACTTTGGAAGCTTTGGTTGCGATGCATAATAACGTTGCTGCATGAATCAATAACAAATGTCTGATGCGAAACCCTAACAAGAACTTTTTATTTATACTTAGCTCGAAAAGAGAGTAGTGATAAGAGATTGGTGACCACCTTTGAACGATAAGGCAATCACTTTATGCTGAATTTCAGTCTGCTGCAACACTTCAACCATCGGCATGATCAACGTGCTCTCAGACTAGCTTGGCTGGAGGCTTGACTTCGCAGGAAGCCGCCAATGTTGTCAGATTCAATTTAGAATTATCGTGGCATTAGTGTGCGGAGAGCAGCGTGGTCAAGTCTGTTGTGAACCCTAGTCAACATAGTAAAAGTACGCTTTATGCATCCAACTTTAAAGAAATATGGTGCTAATGTCGTCCACTATAGCTGATAGTTCATTGTGTCGCATTCTGTTATAACTATACCTTGGTTTAATAATTTATTACACAGACCAAACTCAGGCTGAATAATGGTATGTTGTATCCAAATGTACGTTTGGGTTCGTTATACTGAGCGTTGACTGTATGTCCACAAGCAATGTTCTCCTTTAAATAAATAGCCGGTAAATGGCTATATACAGTGGCATACAGTAAAACCGCATTAATTCGATTGCAGTTATTTCAAAATCCCACTTAATTCGAAATATTTCCGCTGTCCCGTATTTTGCAATGTGATTCTGAGCAAATAATTTTAAGCGGCAGTCTGCACCAGTTCTGTTAATTTGAAAATTCTGGGTGCTGTGTGCCGATTCCCAATCCTGCTTTCGCCGCAAATCCACAGAAAATACAATCCTTAAGAGCCACTAGGCAATGCAATGCAGCGATACTAGTGAATGGCAGCTGAAGCACGGCAGCCTCGCTACTTTCAGCGCAAAAAAAAAGGAGGAAAAAAGAAAAAGAAATTGGTCTCGTGGTCAACTGTAATGCACGCCTGTGGAAAACAAAATGTGCTTCACTGCAACACAGTGGCAGCACCCGGGCAGCACACCACATTTCCTCTCGCAACGTCAGCATGTCATGATTTACCCATTCTTTTCTGGGAACATGAAGAAATAACAAAGGACACATTGGCGGAATTCGCGATGTATGCAAACCTCTGGTTGTTGGTTTCTCTAGCAACTTGCGCACTTGCAGTGCTGGTGGAGTTCTTGCCTGCAACGTCTACTTCAAAAACTATGTATGAAACCTTCTTTGATCATGTTTTACAGCCATACCACATCACAAATTTCGTCATACTGGCCATCATCAAATTCTGTACTTTACCAGAAGGAATGGGCGAATGATCTCATCATGACACGCTGACGCAGCGAGGAGCAGGCGACATGCTGCCCGTGCATAACTATCGTGTTGCAGTGAAGACGCCTTGCCCTCCGCAGGCGCGTACTTCAGTCGATCACGACAGCTGTTTTTCTATTTTCCTTTTTTTTTTGGTGGCAGTAGTGAGGCTCACTGTTCCAGCCCTGATTACTTTGAATAATTCCAAGTTCCTGGCATACCACTTTTTGTATCTTGTGTTAATTTGAAAACCCAATTAATTTGAAGGCTTCTCATGGCCCCGGTGACTTCAAATTAACAAGGCTTTATTGTACCTGCCAAGTCTCCCGGATTGTCTGGGAGGCTCCCATATTTCGACCGTTTCTTTAATTTGTACTGTTGTTGGGAAAATCTCCCAGAAATTTATATTTCTGTGCGTGATCTGGCCACATTGACAAAAATGCAGGTGAATCCACTCCACATTTTTAGGAGCATTTCAGGAAGTGAATTTAGAAGGCATTAATCAAAACGTACAGTTGAATCTCAGTGATGCGAAACTGTGCCAGATACAAATTCATGAAATTCCCCAGCCAAATTCCACTGTGTTCATTGGACGAAAATTTGAATGTTCCAAACACTTTTCCTAGTCGCTGTAGGTCGTAGCAACTCTAGTACTGTAACCATCGAATGAAGGCCGAGAGCTGCGCGCTCGAAGCTTCGGAAGTACGTGTGCGACCAGTGCACGCACTGTCGTCTGCAGTGCATGCGGTTGAGGTTCTTGCCACAACCGCTGTGGACGAAACCGCAGTCGTTCTTGACACGATCATGTAAGCAACGACGTAACTGACAGCACTCCGAAATTGTGTGTGCGTCCAACGCTCAACTAGTCAAAGCTATGCTGCTTTCTGCAAACTTTGTGAACAAAACCGCGGCAGATGTGATCATAAATATATAGCATAAAACGACTTAGTTTTAAAAGCACGTATGCAGCCAGCGCACGGGGATTGAAAACGGAGCTACCGTTCGCCACAACCGGCAAGTCCGAAACCACGGTCGCGTCCACGCGTTAGCAATCTGTGAGCTTTGATGGCACGCGGCTAATGCAATGGTAGGTTAAAGTTAGTCATAAAAAAGGCTAGAAGGGTGTTGGCGTTCCTGTCGAAAGAACCTAGTAGCGAGCAAAGCTTTGACCCGCGCTATCTTGGGAGCCTGTCGTGCCATTCCGTCCGTTCACATGTTTCCCAAGAAGATATACGCGAGTGGTTTTGACGGAAAGAAATTATGCTAGTTGTTTTGATGACGCGAACTTTCAGGAGCATTTGCACTCCCCCTTTGAGATTCTCACCTTAGTGGGAAACCCTACCCTCGTGTGTTTCGGCCACTTCAAGTCACTATAAGGCTGCAGCGCCAATGTTTGCACTTGCGATTGGGACCTCTCCCCCCCCCCCCCCTTGTTTTTTGCAATGTTTTTGTTTTCTTTTGGTGCCAAAAAAAATGGTGGCAAATAATTTAGCCCCCCCCCCCCCCCCCATTCTGCGGAAATCTCCCAGATTCAGAATCCTTCAACTTGGCAGGTATGCAGTGATATATACTCGAGGGCGCCTCACGATTCTGTTTGAATTATCAAAAGAGTTTGAATTACCAGTAAGTGCAAAGTGCACTTAATGCCCCATGCAGTGAAGAATGCTGTAAAAAAGAATATTTTTTCTATATTTCGGTAGGCTCCCTTTTATTGGCAGTCCTACTATCTTTGTGCTACTGTCATGACTGCATGGTCTGAAGGCTGTGCCAGTCCATTGAACAGAGCTTAAAGCTGTTCTTTTTTTGTGTGTGTCATCAGGATGACTGGCTCCAATTTAGGTTAGCTTGGGCAAAGATGGCTTGTTTTTTTCACCATTATAGACACAAGAAATACACAAAATATTGTATTTTAACAAAAGCTTTTGAATGACAACAATTTATGAAAAGAAACCTCAATTTGATAAAAGTGCTATCATTACGATCAGCCAGAAGTGACACGAGCGCCAAAAGATTTCCTTCTGCTGTGATGGGTCCACTCGTTGCTTAACATACGGTGCGTGCATCCTATCCTGTGCTGGATGGTTGCATATAATTAGGGATATCTAGGTATTGGAATCTCTAAATCAAATGTATATGTTTGATAAAAACTGCCTCCATATATTAAATTGAATGATGAGTATTGTTTCATTTCTAAACAATGTGACATACTTTATTTTCTTGTGTGTAGCTCACATTTACATATAAATAACTGTACCCCATTATAAATTGGGGGGGGGGGGGATTTCTTGTGTAGTGTCGTTTAGTCTCCTTTCTTCTTTTACAATAAAGTCATGCTGTGAATCTAGCATGTGCACCAAATTCACCTTTAGCTTCAGCTTTTTTTTATATTTTGAGCAGTTATATTTCAGAAAATAAGGTAGTTAAATATTTCATGGAGTTGTATTTCAAAAGTGGCATTTTCACATTCTTTCATGCATGCAGTCATCATACGTGCATGTAATGCTATCTGTAACTGGATGTCTGTTCAACCTGGACATTGTAAATAACTGCTTTTAGTTGTTTGTGCACTACATCAATGGCAGTAGTGGGAATTGGGGAATGTACTTCACCAGATGCACATGTGCTCACAAAAGGTGATGCGTAATTCTATTCGGAGGCCAGCTTAGGTGTAATTCATGGTATTCTTGTCGAATCGCTGAAAATTATCGCATCAGGAAACCTGTCCCTTAGAACCTTATGTCTCCAAGCAACAACCTACGGCTTTCTTGCTGAAGAATGATTCTCAACAATCCTCATTTGCATGCGTCTTTCTCCTTTTAGACTCCAGTAACTAATCTTTGGCAGCTGAATGTGAAATGTGTTTCAAGAGCTATCCTCTATGTACAATTAAAATTTTTAATATTTGTCACCCCTAAATTATATTTAAGTACAGTAAGTGCAAAAACTTTACACCAGGATTCGCAGATTAATATGTAACATTGTGTAGTAAGCAGTCGTGTGAGCACATTTATTCCAATTTTCAGTGGTGCTTATCACCTGTAGTAAGTCAATGTGACGGAAACGGTACCCTCTCTTTTGCCCTCCTGACTGTACGTAAAAGGACGATTTTATTATTCATTTTCATTACCCGTATAGGTTCTATCGAACTAAACTAAATTATAACATTCATTGCAGTGCACTGGTACATGCATTATGCTTTTTTTTAGCCCGCTATTTGAGAATGTAGGTATGGCAGTTGACCATGATGGCCGCACTTTGATGTCAGTGAAATGCACTATTAAGCATGTACTTTCACATATACATGCACATTAAAAGAACCCCTACTTGTCATAATTGATTTGGATTTCCCCACCATGGCATACTTGATCGTAAAATTGTGGTTTTGGCGCTTCAAATACCATGAATTATGTGCTTATATGTTAAACTAAAAGAAGAGTACTTACGACTTTTGCTGTGCAGAATGAGCTGCCCCAGCTTGAAACTGAGGAGTCTGAAAGGGTACGAAACTTCCTTTCCTGGACGCAGTCAAGACGACCCTTCTACAGCCCCCTCAGGGTGATCAGGTGCGTTCACATGTGGCACTTGTATTCAGCTTAGCTCTGTCATGCTTTGTGATGTTTGTTTCTTGCTTATGTGGTGTTATCGGGTGATAAAAAATTGTGATGATAAATAATGATAAAAAACTCTGCACAGGTAGGTGAAACAATGTTGAAGGTTGAAACCTTGCAGTATCATGTGTAGCATGTGTTGATATTTGTATCATGAAGTACTCATCTGGAAGTCTGTGATAAACAGCTTCGCAAATAACATAGGAAATATGGCAGATGCATTTCACGCAATATAGTCTTCATCAGTTATCCTCTCCGGGCATTACGTTCACACACATAAATTTCTCGTAGCTAGGAGATTCGGAAGTGTGAAGGTGAAACTAGAAATTCTAGATGCAATGTACAGGTCGGTCCACTGGTAGAGGGAACACGTGAGCGTGTGGCTCATGCTCTGCGCAGCGCCACGCACAGCAAATGGCCAAAACCAACCGTATATGCAAAACAACGCTGAGATGGCACATGCTGTGCGTCGTCTGGTACTGAAACGCTCCTATGTTTGAGTAGGCTAGCCATCCTAGATTTAGCGGGGCCATGTCGTTGCGGGCCTGCCGAGCAATCGCATGCCGATAAGTGTGCGAACAGCTTTATGCGGGAGTCCACCATGACTCCGCTGAAATATTTTCGTGGCAGATATGTTGTTGTCAAATATGTACTAACAGATTGCAAAGAAAAAAAAACTGAGAAAGAAAAAGGTTTTGCTGTGGGGCGTCGAAGCAGCAACCTCTCAATCCGCAGCGCGTGGCGCTAACCACTGGACCAGTAAGCAGACGTTGTCAAACCTGCTAACGGCAAGCCATTTATATACAATATACACTGTTTGGCGGTCCTCAGAGCTCCGCAACTTCAGGCACATTTTCGTGCAGCAAGATGGCGAAATGAGATAGCGTTGGGCGTGCTTTAAAGATTGTTGCCTTTCACGTTTCTATGGGCGGCATTTCCATGGAGCATGGTCTCTCCTGTGCGCACGCTTATCAGACTTGATTCTAAAGAGCACGAAGGTCACTTTGCTTGCTGTCTTGGCCGCCTTTAGGAAAGGAGCACGCTGCTTACGCACGAAAGTAAGAATTGTGAGAGTTGTTCGCGCTTCTTCTGTGTATATTTGTGCATTTGTTTCGTGCGTCTTTCTGTTTCCTTCTTGTAGCGGCACGCCCCCACTATCGCTTACAACAGCCATGAATCTTGAGCGATGGCTCAGTGCACTCCCGCTTATAGCGCCCGGACCGCGTGTGGTGCAATTCGCGCTCATCAGCGATAATTAATATCCACCAAAATGTGTGGCACAATCTTAAGTCAATGGTTAGTGAGAGCTGTCTAAATGTGGCGATTGCGGAACTGTTCACAACTTGTAATGATGCCGTCCTCTCAGCGCATTGCCGATTGAGACGTGAGGCAGGAATAACGCTCACCTCGGCACCCCTGTCCACCAGGAAATGACGTCCTGTTGTTCTGTCTGATGTGTAGAAAGATGGCTGCGTGTCATTGTGGTATCCTGCAAGTCACTCGCCGGCATTGGCGACTTGCATTTGTGTTTCCCTGCCAGCGACAGGGTTTTCGGCACTTCATAGGACTGGCATCAAAACGAGCGCGGTACCAGCAGTAGCCGTAACGGTTACTTGTTGAGAGTGAGCAGGATTGCGAATGTGAGCTGCCACGAGAACGGCGAGGCTTTGAAGTCCACATCGCAGGGATGGAGGCAGCGAGTTTGTCGACTTTCTCCTCGAGGCGAGAGTGCAGTGCTTCTGTGTCAGGTGTCATGGCGATTGCCGACACAACAGCGGGGCCAGCAGGGGAGTATGCGTATGTACGATCAGCCAGCTCCGCTAACTTTTCTAGTGGCATCTCACCAGCAGCAACCAAGACAGGGGGCAGCCGTTGTAAAAACAACTCGTAAAGCAGTGGGCTTTCGGAGTCTTGCGCGCTGTCGCCGACAAGCTGGCACATTCGGTGCAGCATCTGTGATGGTCGTCTGTTTCTGAGCTCTTCGGCATTGAGGAGTTGCTGTAGGCGGCTATGCTCCGAAGCCATTTTCTGCTTCGGAACAATGGCTTTGAAATGTTCTTACGGCTCGGATGGGTGTGGCACGCTCAAAACGTCGTCCAACTTGTCTGCAACGTCCGAGGGCAGAGTTGAAACGACATGCAAGGACTTCACGCATTGTGAAGTTATGCGACGCAAGTCGAATAGCGCTTCTATTTGAACAAACCAAACTAGTAGGTTCTTCGACCAAAATGGCGGCACTTGCACATTGAAAACCGCTTCCATGTCCGCTGTCAGGGCTTGGATCTCGTTCCCCACCGTTGACTGCGGTTGCTGCGGTCGTGTGCTGTCGGGCTCGTGTTAGTAGGTAGCCCTCACGTCCGGGTCACCAAGATAGAGACACGAGGTACGTTGTCTATAGACAGACGCGTGTAGGAGAGCAGCGGAATGTACGTCAGCACACGACGAACGCTGGAGGGAGAACATGATCTTCATTGTGCGCGAATTGTGCCACGCGGGGTCCGGGCAGTGTAAGCGGGAGTGCACCGAGTGCAGCGATCTGGATCTGGATTCGTTGCGCTGTGAGTGATAGTGGGGGTGTGCCACTACATTTCCGTTTGTTTCTTTTTGTTTGAACAGCGCACTTTATGTGTTGAGCTGTGGCAGTTGTTAGTTCATGCTCGTCCTGTGTATGCTCATTTTGTGCGTGTTTCCTGCTTGAGGTGCACGTTGCAAGTTTCGAGCTGCTGGCCATTCTTCATGTGATTTACAATTTGTTGCTGTAGCATTCATTCCTTCACCCTTATGGTGAAACAATGCTCAATAAACACCTAACTATCTCTGTGAAGACACGTTTAACTTTCATGTTTTATGATTCCTAGAAAGAGGGATCAGCCACGTTTTTTGCGCCCTTTCTTCCCCTGAAGAATGTGGGCTGTGTAGCAAGCTACCGGAGATATAAGCAGTACAAGCCCGTCAGTTCAAATGTAATTTGTTTGCACGCCTGACAACTTCCTTCGAATTGCCGTGACAGGATGGCCGTAAGCAAGCTATGGTAGGCGTGTTTCAGTAGCTCATGACATGGGGCATGTACCGCCTCTTCGTTGGTTTGTGCATGTGTATGGTTTTTACTGCTTGCGCTGCACAGAGTGGGAGCCATGCACTCCTATGTTCCCTCTAACAGTGTACTGACCTGTGCATGTTACGCATTTTCCTAAAGATTGTCTGGTAAAGTCCTAAAGCCTGGAATTCAGCTTCTAGGAATGAGTAACTGCTCTCTGAAATCCTTGTAGGAGTTTCTGTTTTTCGGCAAACACTGTACTTGTCATGTTTGGACAGGTGCTGTTCATGTATCTACTAGCAGACACATTGCTAAGTTTCCGTTGTATGGTCATTTGCAAATGGCTTATGCTTTCTCAATGCTTTACAGGGAAGACAGCAAGGATCGGCACCTTTTTGTGCAGTACATGGTTGACGACCGAACAGAATCGGCTCTCTCCTACTACGAATTCCTTCAACACTTGAAGCAGCAGCTAAGCAAATAGGAAAAAGACTGCTTATAGTTTATAAATGTTATTTTATTATTCTTGTTTTCTTTCTTTCCCCAGTGGTCTTGCCTCTTTCTCACTTCTCTGTGGCTCCTCTTTCTTGTCCACCCTTGTGCAGCTGTACCTTGCAGCAGAACCTTCGTGGGCAAGCCTACTTTCACAGTTCGTATGAAGACGACGATGCGCGTGATGTGTGCGTGTGTGTGTGTGTGTACTACAAAACACCCTGACATGCCAGAAGTGTGGTGCCACGGAAAAGAAATATTCTCTCGGTATAATGAGCGAGAGAGAGTGTGCCGATGGAGCATAAGACTATGTGCTTTTTTTTTTGCTCCCGCCTCCTTTCTCTCAGTTTGTTTTAAGGGCATGAAAAAGTTGTATGCAAAGTTTACCCATGGGTGTTGTGCTGTGAAAGCTGCTCTGTTGTTTACTTAGGCACTATTTTAATGTTGTTGTTTTTTAAATAAAACTTACAACTCTTCGTTTAAAAAGTTTTTGTAGCATGGAAATTATTTTTTTTCTTGTGGTGTCATTTTCTTGAAAAACAAGAAAAGCCCATTTTAATAATGGCCTTTTCTTTTTCACATGTGAAGCTTATCTCAATTTCTGAGTATTGAAGTATCAATTTTTATAGTATCTCTCTATGAATAGAATTAATTGGCTTATTTTCATGTATTTTATTTCAGTTGAAAGGGAGTTTGGTTGGTTATGCCATAGAGCATAACGAGAGGCTAATTTTTTTTCTGAAGTAAGTCTTCGAGAGATAACTTCTGGTTAGAGTAGTAAAAATATCTGCACAGTTTACACAGGACTGTTAAAAATGTGCTCAGCTGTTTGCATTAGAGGCTAACTTTATGGCTTTTCAACAAGTTCACGACTATTGCGTCAGGCCAGTTGAATGAAGACGTACCTTTTATCATATGAACTCATCTTATATGTGTTTTGTACACATGGTTTTCTGCTTTTGTAGAATTTTTTCAGATGATAAGTGCTTGGAGATGGTATTATCGGGGCAGTCCATGACATTGTAATTTGCAGTTATATTTCCTTTCGTGTTTGTGGTTGCGGGGTCTTAAAAGTTGTGAGTGTTGCCACAGCACTTGACTTTTTAACAAATTGCCTTTACAAATTGCTTCAGTGATGTGCACTAGAAGATGTGTGTATATAAACATAGGTATATATACATATTATAAATGTGTCAAGAACAACTGTTTGCTGTTTTGTTTGTGTTTGCTTTTGGGTGTGATGCCACTAGAACATTTTACTGCTTTATGCAAAGAAAAAAAATTTTGCAACTACCTTTCTAATGTTGCAATATATAACCGAATAAATTATGACATCAGAGCAGTTCTTATTCATGGCGACATGTGGGGAAGCTGGTTGATTAAATATTTTTTTTTTGAACGAAATTGATGTTTCTTTTTGCATTACTGAATGCTATTCCACATGTGACAACCAAGTATGGTGTGCATGTATGCATGCATGTATATTCTTGCTTTTGTTGCTTGCTTGTTTTGGAAAATAGCCAGTCGTTGACTGCTAGCAAAATCCTAAATCAGTTTTATTTTGCCAATTTTACAGACACTAAGTACTGTTCTAAAGTTGTGCTGCTGTTTGACACACTACATTCACACTCAAGGCATGGATGCCACAATCAATATTTGTAAAATTTTGGTGAGGTTATTTTATGAGCAAGCATCTATAATGCCTTTTATGGCACGAAATCATGCCTCAATACCGAAAACTGCATAAAGCACTGCTCTCAACTGACATCATTTATTGCATCTCTTCTCTCTTTGTACACCTTATGGAGAACAGATGCCCGAAAGGTCGCACGTAGTGCACACCATTTGAAGCAGCCACCTCAGTTTGATCTATGATATGGTGTCGTGCATTGTCAGATTCGGAGTGGCTGACCAACTCTGCACCAGAGCACTCTACTCTATATAATAAATAAATATACCTCTGGAACACAGGCGCTCCCGCTAGACCTGATGGCAGGGTCAGAATGGAACGTGATGCGCGCGTCTCCCATCTTTCATGAGTGGCTGCGGCGTCTGCATTTTCCATAGTCGCGAAAATGCTGTAGGCCCGTGTGCTCAGATTTGGGTGCACGTTAACGAACCCCAGGTGGTCAAAATTTTCAGAGTCTTCCACTACATAGACCGTTGGTGCGCGTCCACAGTTGGCATCGTTTCAGGGCGCGAGGTGCTTGCGACTTCCTGTCGAATCGGCCGCTTTTAGTAGTGTCGAATAAGTTGGTTTTTGAAAAGTATTTTGCGATGAAGCTGTGCCGGATCTGCCAAGTGGAAGAGACTTGCACAATATGGAGTAGAAAAAGAGCTGCCGGAAGCGCTCCGAAATATCCAATGGATCACGCCAATAGAGTTTTTTGGATTCATGAAACTGGATCCAAAAAAAATTGTGTGCCTAACAAGGTTAAAGAAGAAATACTAATGTACAGTGAACCCCATAATTGAAAAGCGCATCCAATAATTCCCGAGTGGTGGTGCCGCAATTTTCCATTAACTATTTCGCTACGGCAGAAAAATGGCATTCTTTTAGTACTTTCAAAATACAATTTATTTCTCTTAAAAAAGTTGGCACATTTAACATTGGAATGTATGAAATTTCAGATTATTGATTTGGCATTTTTATACCTGCCAAGTCTGCCGGATTGTCCGGGAGACTCCTGGATTTCGACCGTTTCTTCCGTTTGTACGGTTGTTTTGCAAATCTCCTGGAAATCAATGTTTTTGTGTGTGATCTGGCCGCATTGACAAAAATGCATGTCAGTCCACTCCAGGCTTCTTGTGACCCCACCACATTATGTTATACACGAATTTAGGAAGTATTCATTTAAACATACAGTAGCCTCAGTGATGTGAAACTGCGGCCGATACGAATTCACGAAATTCCCCAGCCAAATTTCGCTGTGTCTATTGAGGCATAGTTTGAATGCTCCGATGAGTTTTCCGAATTGCGGCGTGAACTTTAGTACTGAAACCAGCGCATGAAGGCCAATCAAGAGCAGCGTGCTCGAAGCTTCGAAAGTATGCTTGCGAAGAGTGCACGCATTGTCTTTTACAGTGACCTTGGTGCTGACGTCCCGGGCTGCCAAGGTCACCAACCGTTTGCTAGCGTGTGTTTTTCAGCTCGCGACTGCTTCTGCACAGAGCTGATAGACAAGCGCCCAAGACGACGGTAAGTTAAGGCAAGGTTTTTATCCAGCATGGAAATAGAGCCGTTAATTATTCGGCACTGTGACTGACAGCTTACGGACTCGAAGAGCCGAGATGTCTTCTCCCGCTCGCATACGTCGGCTTCTCTCTGACGCATGGGTCAAGTGCTGGCGAAGCACCGCTTGGCTTTATTTATAGGCACCGGGTGGACCTTTTACATCACCAACGTCCAACCAGAAGCGCCGCTGGCCGTGATGTCAGAATCCTCTAACGGGCTGGGCTGCGTCATGATCATCAAATCCGGAGCCGCTGCAGCGTGGTTGCACCCAAGGACGAGTGACTGTTGCTACGCATTGCGTAAGACTCGCCAGACTGGAAGGCGCCTGATTGCTTCATCGGGCTCGTGGGCTGAGGGAGCTTGCTGTCCATTGCATAAGACAGACCGGCACCGCCGCGTGATGACGTTGAGCTCATCACATCAGGCGGGCTCGATCGCTGGCCTTGACACAGATTGCCTTTGCAGAGGCCAGTGGTCCGTTTCGACCACAAACCTCGATCGAACTAAACACATAAGCTAGCTTTTGAATGGCCCACACGAGGCAAGTGCATTCCTTTTCATAGGTACTGTATGCCTCTTCTCTGCTCCTCAGTTTTCTACTTAAATATAAAACTGGCCTTTCGTTATCAGCACTGTCTTCCTGGCACAATATAGTTTCCATGCCGCGATCACTCGCCTCGCATTGAATGACAAATCCCTTAGAGAAATCGGGTTCCATGAGAACGGGCTTTTCGCTTAGGGCCTGTTTCAGCTCGCAAAACGCATTCTCTTTTCTGGCTCAGACTTTCGAAGTGCGTCAAAGGGCTGGCAATGCTAGAGTAGATTTCCACGTAATGCTGATAGTATCCAGCTAGACCCAAAATATCTTAGGTTTTATGGTTGGCCGTGAATAGTTCACAGCAGCGGTTACCTTAATTTCTGAAGGTCTACGCCGTCCACGTCCGTCAACGTGTCCCAGGTAAGACACTTCGTCGCACCCTCGATGACATTTAGCAGGTTTCACGGTAAGACCAGCTTCTTTCAACCTGTTCAGCACGACTAGTAAATGCTCGACATGTTCTTCCCATCTGTTTAAGAAGAAGGGGATATCGTCAAGATACGGCAGAGCGAACTCAGAGAGGCCTTTAAGAACGCGGTTCATTAAGCCTGAAAAACAAAAAGGCACATTCTTCATACAAAGCTCAGCTTAAGTGGACGATACGTTCTAAATGGAGAAACGAATGCCGCATAGCGGCTAGCACGCTCCATAAGGGGGACTTGCCAATACCCTCGCACGAGGTCTGACGTGGAAATATAACAAGACTGTGACACAGTGTCTACCATCTCTATAATTGGTATCGGGTAAGTTTGGTCAAGTTATGGCGTTAAGACGCCGTTCACCCATGCATGGCCTAGGATCTTTTCCCGGCACTTGAACCAATATTAGAGAGGGGATGTATAGTCACTCTCGCCCGGTACTATGACTCCTTTAACTCCAGCATTTTATCGATCTCCTCTTTCATGATCTACTTTTGTACAGGGGAACATCGATACAGCTTGCTATGTATTGGCTCTTCACAAGTTAGCTTGATATCATGTTCAATCTCAGTCGTGTTTCCGGGACGGTCCGATAAAAAGTCTTGAAACTCTGAAACAATCCTCTTCAAGTCCTCCTTCTGAACTTCGTAGCACTCCTTCCACAACACTTGTGCAGCCTTCATGTGGCTTTTCACAAGATTTTTTGTTTTTCCAAGCATCCGAAGGAGGTCTAGAACATACGCAACTACATTAGGGTCCTCATCGAATCCCTCCCAGGACTCGCGTAGCATTTGCAGTGGTGTTCTCAAACTCCTGCCATACACAAGGTCTGCAGGGATAAAACCTGTGCTCTCATAAGGAGCTGATCTCAAAGAAACATAGCGGGAGGAACACATGCTTCACAGTCGCATTTGTCCCCGCAGGGGCGCCTGCGCAAGTAGGCGTTTGGTGTGTAGCGACACCACGGACCCGAGCTAACGGGGGAGTTTTGATTCCCCCCCACGCCTAGCCGTGCGTGGCCTTGCCATGTCCGGGGAAATGGGGATCCTGGGGGTTGAGCCGACGCTGGGTGATTGGACCTTTAAGGCCCTCTGGCAGAGGCAACACACCCCTTTGGCCCTGGCTTCACGTAGACGGCACCCCCGGATTGACCCGCCTGGGGGGAATCGGCAGTCGCCTTTTCCTGTCCCCCCCTCACATGTTCGTCTTTTCTCTTACTTTCAATCTTTCCTATTCTCTACTCTCTTCCGTTGACTTCCGTGTTTCCTGGCGGCAAGGGTTAACCCTGCGTGGCTATCCTACCTTGGATACACCATATTCAGTTATAGTGGTGGTGTACAGCTGGCGTCTGCAGGGCCTGTGCGCACAGACCCTGCAGCGTCCCCTTGTAGGACTCCATGGTGGGTGGCTGGCACCGCTGCCGAAAATAAACCTTCTCTTATGGCTAGTTCCTTTCCCCCACTCCCTGATCGCCCTCAGAAAAGAGGGCGCACCGGTGAAGTATTCCAGTTTTTTGGTCACCAGAGAGTATCCTTTCACCGATTCCACGTTATCCACGCTGACACACATGGCAAACCAGTGAGAACAATTTCACCTTTTCTTGTTTCGAAGCCTTTGACAGAAATCTTTGGCCCAGGATATAAAGCATCAAGAATGGCAAGTGGTGACCTCCTGTTGGAGCTCCGTGACCAGAAACAGTATGAAAAATTGTCTAAGCTAGTGAAATTTGGAGATACCAAATTAATAGTAACCCCACACCGAACCATGAACACCACCCGTGGCGTTGTCTCAGATGATGACCTGTTAGGGCTGACGGAGGCTGAACTCCTGGAGGGTTTCAGCGAACAGAATATCATTAACGTGAAACGAATTAGGATGAGGCGTGATGGCAAAGAAGTCCAGACTAAACACCTGATACTTACCTTCAATTCAAGTATACTGCCCGACTCCGTTGAGGCTAGGTATATTAAGCTTCGAGTGAGACCATATATACCAAACCCTCTCCGATGTTTCAAATGCCAGCGTGCGTATTTAGGCGTGCTTAGTTAGGCGTGCCTAGTTAGGCTGCCTCGTCAGTTCACAGAACTGCCGAGGCCGCCTAACTTGCGTGAAATGCAGTGCTGAAGAGCACACATCAGATGCCTGTGAAAACTCTCTTCACTGTGCGAACTGCAATGAGGAGCATGCCGCATACTCGTGGTCATGCCCGTGCTGGAAAAAGGAAAAAGAAATTGTCACAATTAAAATACAACAAACATTTCATTTAAGGAGGCACGAAGGCAGGTGTCCTGCCTACCAGAAACTAGTTTTGCCGAAGTGGCGCGTCAGGGGGCAGCGCCACGACGGGCCCCGGCGCCTGTCTGGCACACGCTTAGTGAGCCAGCGGTGACGGCATCCGCCCCCTCGGCGGTTGCAGCCAGTGCTGCTCCGCCATACAAGAAAGACCCACCAATATCCGGGCTGGGGGCCGCGGAGGTCTCGTCTTTTGAGGCGAGG